AGCCACTGGGTTGGATGTGCTGAGCACGGCTGCTGCACTGGACTGAGGGAGAGCTGGGCAGGGAATGGGAGGTGAGGAGGAAATTAAACAGGTGAAGAATAGGATCTTTAAAAGCCAGGAGGTCTATGAAACCAGGTTTAGTGGAAGGTGTCCCTGCCCATGGTGGGGGGTTGGAATGAGATGATCTTTAAAGTCCCTTCCAACCCAAACCATTCAATGATTCTATTTGGTCGCATTTTAGTCTACTTTCAGACAAATCCTTCAAAGAAAGGGTTCTCTTCTAAGACTTTTAACACAACACCTTGATCTTTGAGCTTGCTTTGAAAAACTTCTCAGCAGTTTACAAAAACTAAGTTACTATATGAAGCAATGAAATAAAGCCACAGAAAACCCAGCAAGTTTCCTTCTGCTCTCCCTGCTACTGGGGAGGAACCTTGGCTAGCAGCTGCAGGTAGCAACTACCTTAAATAACTGCAGAAGGCAAGTCCAGGGAAGAACCCCAGTCTGAGCTACAAAGCTAAAGTGAACAAAACTCCACCAACACATTTTGTAAGAAAACTGGAGACCAAATTGTCCCTGCTTACACTTTTCTCAAGTCTCTTTTGCAGGACCATTAATTACTGCTGGTACATCCCAGGTAACATACAGTAAAAGAGCAATCACACAGTCATTAGCAGCAGACAAGAGGCATTTGTCTCAAGCAATCCCTCAAACCACTTCATCCTGCTACGGGTATTAATTTTCTAAACTAAATAAGGCAAATTTTAAGCTTCACAAAGCAGCAGTTAAAAACACTTACAAGCAATAAGCTCTTACAACAACAAAGCCAGGCCACGTTTGATTAATATTTTAAAAAAGAGCATTTTTCTGACTTGAAATACCTGAAGGGGCTTTACAAAGGGGACGGGCTGGGAAGAAAAAGCAACTCATGGGCTCAAAAGTCAACCACAAATACCATCAGAACGCCCAGCCCCACAGCAAGGCTTGGTTCCCAGCTGTGGTTTTCCTGGCTGCTGGCTTCAGCCAGGGACAAAATGTCAGCCGTGTCAGGGCACACAGGACAGACATCCCTTTACCACGGTTAATGCATTTTCATCTCAACAAGACAAAGATTTGCTTTTATCCATCCCAGCCTCCAAAGGTCTTAGCCCCACCACAGCACCAGCTTGCTGCTCAGCATTCAGGCTCTCCACTTACGGAAGGGTCACCTACCATCCCTGCTCCATAAAAGACTAGCCCTGGTTTAGCCACTTTACAATGTTTCTGTGAGGACATGCCACATCCAGGAACAAGAGAAGGAGGTACTCACCACTCAGAATACATTGCTGTCAGCTCCACCAGGGCTGTGCTGCTTCCTCCTGCCTAATTTAGGGATCCAGGTGCAGGAGGGTGCTCAGGGAAGAGCTCTTAGCAGCAGACAACTCCAATCAAGACTGTTAGCACAGCCAAGGAGCACTCCCCCTCATCCACATACTGCTTTACCACGTACAGATCAGACCTATTGGAAGGATGAGATGTTTGCAAAGTGCTTTGCCAAATGCTGCCCAAGCACGGGCAAGCACACATCACACTCCCACTGGAGCCCAGCCTGCCAGAAAGGGACAAAGATACCTCATAGGGGATGAACCCCCCACCTCAGGCATGCTGGTTATTTGGTCCCTTCCCCACTGCAAGCTGACACACACTTAAAGAGCAACAGCTTCCTAACAGGGTCTCCAGCACACTGTGTTTGCAGTGCTGCTGTGATTTGCAATTCAGTTTATTGCATTAAAATGTGGTGCAGCCCTAGTAGAAAGAAATAAATATGCCACTTGTCACAGTTCCTTTATCCTTTAGAGGAAAGCCAGCTCGGGTGAATATTCAGAGAGGGGAGTGTGGGGCTCATCAGGAAGCTTGGCCAGAAATGCAGCTTCCTGCTCTCACCCCAGTGGGGACTTCCCATCTCAGCTGCTCCTCCTCATCCAAGCTTCCCAAAACCTGCAGCAGAAGAGGGCTTACTTAGGGGATGTTCCTCTGCCTGTGAAGCAACAGCTTGAGTGAGCAGAGGGAAAACAAACTTGAGGCAGCTGCCAGAATCGTGCTGGAGGCTGGAAGTGAAAAGCCATTCACCTGCCACCGCCTGACCCAGAGCCAACAGAAGCCCTTGCACCTCACTGCTGTTCCTGCAGGGTTTATTAGGAGTGAATAAAACTACCTAAAAATCAGCTGTTCAAAGCGAGCAGATAAGAGAGATGTTTTCACTCTGCCTGTATCCCCACCCCTATCCCCAAAGCAGACTCTCACCTTCCTATGGACCTTCATTAGAGCTGCAGACGTTCACTGCTAATTGATTCAATATGCATTTGGAGTAGGATTTTTAATTAATTTTTATTATAGAAAAATTAATGCACTGCTTCCCCACAGATGCGATAGGGTACCGACACAGCACTAGGAAACCATCCTGCAACGTGGCTTTCCTTGTGCCTGCTTGTGGAGAGTGACTCCCAGACTCTCAGGGGGACTCCCTCAATTCAGCCCCTCCCCCAGAGCCCCCACTCCCAGTCAAAGTGCTCACATTTGGCTCATACCAGACATTTACCATGTCTCAACTGAATTTTGGAATACACAGGGTACCAAGCAGTATCCTCTGCCTCCCTGAGTAGTGCTAAGACTCCAGGGCTCATTTTCAGCAGAGGCAGGCTCTGCCCTGCACAGCACAGCTCAGCAGCCCTGTTCATCCTCTCACCCCCCAGCTGGTTTGATTTCAGAGGGACGTGGTGCATTTTGGTAGCAACTGTGTTCTCAAAAGTACACACAGGCCTGAGTGCAAATCAAACAGCACCAACCATGGGAAATGACCTGCGTGACATGGGTCAGTGCTGTCTCTGCCCCACAGCACCCTCAGACACTTTCTCTTGAGCAAAACCTCTCACACCTCTGCCACTGGTTTAGGCATCTGGAGGGACCATCCCACCCAGCCAAGCTACCCTCTGCCTCCCCAGAGCAGGGAGTGGGGGTTTAACAGCTGCAAAACCAGGACACTCCCTTTTTCTTAACCTTAGTCCCCCACAATCCCCACCTCAGCCTAACTTCAGCAGGCACAGGGGGATGCAACACATCACATTTTGGAAATGCAGGCACTCTCAAGCTAGCTCTGTCAAATTCAAGCAAGGAAGAGTCTCTTTTCATCCCTCCCCTCCCTTTGTCCAAATCTATTTTATCATTACCCGTCTCTACATATTGTGGAGTTAATAAGAGACATATTTACTCTGCTTGGCTTGAGACTAAAGTCAAACTAGAAGTTTGAGCTGTGCAGCAGCTCAAAGCAGAAGTGTCTGCTCTGAAACATCACAACCATTTCAAAGCAGAGGAAGAGCATTTGGAGGGTGTTCTATCAAAAAAAAAAAAATGGAGCTGGGTAAAATTAAGCAGTTCCCAATATTTGAGATGACATCTCAGAATAGAAAACAGTGTGGGGGGGTGGAACTGTGTTATTTATATAAATCCACACTGTGGTATTTATCAACAGCAGAGTATTGGGGAAAGAAACATCACATCTGCAATACCCAAACTTGAGTCCCTGGAGTCCTGCACTAGCGCTGTATTGAACAGCATTCCCGAGGCATGCCTTATTTTAGGTGTGTGCAGAGCAGCAATAGGCAGTGTACTGTAAGGTCCAAGACCTTAATCAAGCTCTGCAACTCAATAGATTTCCAATATAACAAAGACAAAGAGGTGTCAGCTCTAGTCCTCATTTGCTAATACTATCAATAGGGGTTCAGCTCACTAGCAGTTAATTCAAAGCCAAGCTCGATTTGCACAGCAGTGATCTACACTAATTCCCATATGTGGCTAAGGGGAGATTTTGCCAACTAGACAATAGAAACAGTATTAGAGCTCCTGAACTGATGCCATCACTTTTTTATTCTACTCCACCACTTCCCCATCAAATTTCCACGTGCTGGAATCTCCAGTTGCCTTCTCCCTTGCATCAGAAGACGTGCAGAAAGGGTAGCAAATACAAAAGTACCTATTTCTTTTCCAGATGCAGCTTTATTGAGGCTTTTAAAATGCAACTGCCCATAAAATAGGGGCAAATTTCACACTTGGGGTTTTTTTGTGCATTAAAGACACTAAAAATTAGCATAATTAAGCAACTATAAAAGTATTTCTAAGTGATCGAACTGTAACTTTGCCTTAAAAATAAAAGTTGCTACATGTTGCTATGTTTCATGAAAGTTTATTAGCTTGCTCCATCCTGAAAGTTTCGCTTTCAGGTTTCAGTTCATCTCAACACTAGATCAGATTTTTGCCAAGCTGTTGTTGTTAAGTTACGGTAGGGTTGCTGAGAAGTCAGAGGAAGCCAGATGTGCTACCCAATTAGGCAACAAAGAAGTTTTAACCACATTCTAAGTAGTTACTGCCTGTAAGCCTGGCCCTCATTAATCTACAACTTGGCTCCAAAGCAGCAGTGGCAGCAGCCCATACCTACCATTTACACCCCTGAGTTACCCTGGACTCTTAAATCAGCTGAACACAGCAGCCCACAGCTTTGACCTGCTATTTACCCGAGTACCCTGGCACACCCCATCTCCTCCTCTCTGCCAAGCAAACACCAACTGCTAGCTACAGCCAGCACAAGGGAGAAATTCAGGGGTAGAGAGAGAGTGCTGTAGTTTTCCCAGTTGGTGCCATTTCCGTGCTAAGGAAAAATGAGATTAGAGTCACCAGTTAGAGACCAGGCGTTACCTTTCGCTTTCAAGGGCTGCAAAACATCCTCAGCTCGGATTTGGAAAGAAGGTAAGACTTCAACACAGCCAGCTGGTCAACAAAGGGGGGAAGACATGCCAAGCTGCCCCAACCCACCTCACAGCACCCAATTCCTGCTAAAACTTGCGTTGTTAGAGAAAGGACACAGACTAAGTACCTGCGCCACGCTCCTACTTCAGCAGGGAGTTAGGGTAGGCGCCTGGCTCCTGCCACGAATCAAGAGGCTAGAAAAAACCACAAGTCTGAAACAGTTTAACACAGGACAAAAAAGGCACATTTTAATATGTACAGCAATGCATTTGGGCTATAAATTTACCCAACACAACTGAAAAAAAATCCAAACTATGCTTTTATACTTATTCCATGGTGTCAGCCTCATTCCTAGCCACCTACCTTTCTCTGCATCTCTGAATGCTGCTATATACACACACAAACAAACAATTACGTCATGAATGTTCATTTAGGCTCCCAAGTTCAAGTAATAAAGTTCAAACTTGCATAGCATCTTATGCCACTCAGCCATAAACAGTTACGATTGCATATTAGCTGGAGCAGCCATCTCTTTCAATTCAGCCAGTTTTGGCTGGCCACCATTTTTTTATTTTTTTTTTTTTTTAATCCTTGAGTCAGAATGTTTCCTAAGTCACCAGCCCTGAGGGATGCCACAGACTTCAAAATGAACCTCTTGCTGTTGTTAAGATCCTTTTTTAAACCAGAAATTTAGAATGTTGTCAAGAACAGTTTTAAAAATGTAATACTGTTTATTTTGCTTCAAAAACATTTCAGCATTCTAAACATACAAAAAAAACAGAACGTTGCAAATTCGTTTAAGTACAGAGTGTTTTTGAACTTCAGTTGCTGCACTGGCTCTTCACTTAGTTGACGATGAAGAGATGTCTACAGTTTCAGTTTAAAAACTACCGCACTTAACTAAAAAAATCCATACACTTCTCATGCCAGCTGAACCCCCTTCCACAACTAAGAATGGCAGCAGAATGCTATTTCACTATATACAGAAAGACAACTTTAAGCTAAATGGACGCCCACTGTAGTGTAAATAGATCTACCCTCACAGTGCATGCTTTGGGCCATGGCACCCCGGGGAACGTACAGCCTTTCCAAGTAATCACTGCTCCTCTAAGGCATCATAACTCTAAGCATGTACCACAAGAATCTGTCTAGTTTTTACAAACTATAGATATGTACAGTTTATAACCCAGGATTTTCTAGCCAATAACCATATAGTAACACCACCTTACAAATTAAAAAAATGCTTGAAACATTTTTAAATGCTTTGTTACACCAACAGCAAAGTGCACAGAGTTAGGAGAACACTAGAGCGCCTTTTCATTTTAAAAATGTTTGGAAATATGTACAACTTTGATACAGTTTCAGGGTGCTCACTACACCCATGGCCACTTCATGTAAACCAGTTACAATTTCTAGAGCACTTTTAGAAACTACAACGCGATCGGAATCCAAATTTTTTTTTAATTAAGCCTAATACGGGCAAGAGACACCATCTCGAATAAGAGGTGCTTCATTTATGGTGTTTCCCCTACTCTATGGTATTCACATGGAGACAAGTATTGTACAGTTTTATTCATCATCATCATCTTCATCCTCCTCTTCTTCATCCTCCTCCTCCTCTTCATCTTCTTCCTCTACCTTTTTCCGAGCAGCTTTGGTTGCTGCTCCCTTTGCGCCATCAAACTTTCCTTTAGACTTGTAGTCTGCAACATCCTGCAAAGTCAAGGGGATGTCTTAATTTGCTCTAAGCAGCAAACATACAGAGCATTTGTACAGCAGCAGGTGTTTATATAAAGGGACTGGCCCTTCCAGAGCTGCACCCCCAGAGGGGAGACAGCCAGCACTGGAGTACACAGGTGTGCTGACACCTCAGGGTGCTCAACTGCCCACAGATGATGGAGGCTGGGAACCCTGCGTTTTACGGTTATTTCTTTGAAGAGGAGATGAGAACCCAGCCTCTCTTAAAAGTTTCCTGATAATGGGACAAAGTTCCTGTAACAGCACAGCAAACCCTTTGCTGGAGCAACACTGTGCATCACTGGGTAAAGCTGTCCCTCCTCGCTAGAATCCGCCTGTGGCTCTCTATCCTGCTCTGCCCCAACCTACGCAAAGCTCGGCTGCGCAGCACGATGAGAACAGGGCTGTAAGCTGGAGGTGCTCACTGTGCTGGGGCCACCTGAGCTGGGTCTACATTACTGTCATGTCTCAAACCATGACAATTACAGAAACACATCAGTGCAAGAGCCGGTACAGAGGAGGCACAAGTGACAACTAGACTTACCTTCTCGTACTTCTCCTTCAGTTTAGCTGCCTTATTATTATAAGGCTGCTTTTCCCCATCACTGAGGTTGTTCCACATTTCACCCAGTTTCTTCGCTACATCCCCAATGGATATGCCAGGGTTTGTGGACTTGATCTTGGGGCGGAACTCTGAACAGAAGAGGAAGAAGCCAGACCTTGGGGAGAAACACGAGAGGACAGTCAGCATTGCAGCAGCATGCCCAGGGAACACCCCCTTCCTCCATCCCTCACCCACAACACTCAAACGTGCACTCACACACTGAGTAGAAACTTTATTTTTATTTATAAAATGAAACACAAACCCAAACGTGTTTCAATTTTACTGAGGCCCAGATCTGCAGCCTTCACTCAATGCTCTTTTTAATTAAGTGTTGTGTATCCCCCTCACCCAATTTCATCTGATACACAAGGCTCATTGTGTTACAGTCACTTCCATGTCTTCCATAACTATGAGTTTGACAGTATCAAGTATTGATAACTACTCTTAGTGCTCTACATGCTCAAGATTACAGGCTGCCTAAAAGGTCTACAGGACAGTATCCCTACCAATCCTGCTACACCAACACTATGACCCCATCTACTTCCTTCGTGGAAACCTGTGTTACACACAGACTGCGAAAATGAACGAAAACACTTGTGCATTTAAAGCCTCAAAGTTACTTACGGTGGTCGCTTTGGGGCATTGGGGTCCTTCTTCTTCTTGCCACCCTTAGCTGGTCCATAGTCCTTCATTTCTCTATCATATCGTACCTTATCAGCCTTTGCCATTTCATCAAATTTAGCCTTTTCCTTGCTTGACATGGTCTAAAAAAAACCCCCAAAAACAAGACACCAAACCTGTGATTACCCAACTGTTCAATAGCTGGCAAACTTTATGTAAACAAGCCAACACATACCAACTCAATACGGGAGTTTCAGAATTTGTTTGTTTTCTAACTGGACCACCTTGGGGACGAAGGTCCTGTACCAGGAATCACAGACACTACTAGAATACTCAGTAAGAGGGAAGCAAAGGGAATGGAACAAGAACAGCCAGAGTCTTCTTCGGGACACATGTCTAGAAGGTGGTAACTGCTAAAGGGCATTGCTTGGGAAGAGGAAAAAAGGCCAGACTGTAGTGGAAGCACCTAAGTGAACAGATATACCAGGCTGAAACCTTCACAAGTGCTACAGGCATCAGCAACACGCAATCAATGGCCAGGACAGCTTGCCAAGAACGGCTCACAGACCAAAACAGCACCAGCTCCCTTGGTGTTCAGACACACACGTGTCATCCTAGCAGATACTGTAAGAAGTTATCCCTTGAGGAAGCCACAAATTAAGGTACCTTCCACCTCTCTGAGCACTTCTTGGAAAACTCTGCAAAGTTGACTGGAACCTCTGGGTTCTTTTTCTTATGTTCCTCACGGCATGTCTGCACAAAGAAGGCATAGGCAGACATCTTGCCCTTGGGCTTCTTCGGATCACCTTTAGCCATCTTGACTCTGCAGAGAAGAGGGGGAAAAAATAACAAGTGAATGACATATGGATGAACACATACACCTATATATATACATATATGGTGTGCACATATTTATATATACACACCACCTTCTCCTGACATTATGTCCCATCAGTAACACAGGCCTTTCTTCCCCCAGACACCTCTTACCATTCCCAATACAGAGACTTAAATTATTCTTCCTTGACACTTGGGTTGCAGACAAGCCAAGAGAAACCAGTCACTGGATTTAAATTTTACATTAATATATATTTACATCATGTCCAAAAGACTGGAGACAGCCTATTAAATATACATACTTCTACCTATTAAGCGTTATATATGAACTAATATAAAATATTTGTTTTAGTTGGCTACCACACTGGGTGTGCACAGTGCCAGGCTGTGACTTATTCCTTCAGGAGCTGGAGCTCGCATGTTAGCGGCTGCTGCTCAGGTAGAAAGGTAGGACAGATTACTCGTCCCATAAAAGTGCAATAACCTTTTATATATAAAAAAGGGCGCAAATAAAGGCTGACTTCAACCACGATGGGACCCCGTGGAGCCCTGCGAGGTGAGCAGTGCTTGCTCTTGCTCCACCAAGTGACACATGCTCCAGGCATAGTGGTCAGCGCAAAGATGCGATCAGCAAGTCACCGAGAGGATGATGCTAACTTTTGGGCTCTATTTCTTGCCCCGCTTCCGCATTAATTTTTTCCCCTTTTATTAAAAAAAAAAAAATCCCGCAACAATATTTCCTATTTACAGCTTCCCAGGCGTTTGAAAATTTAACTTTTATTAGCACAACGTTAATATTTAATTGCGCCCATTAACCCCCCCAGGTGCAGCACAAGTAGCTGCGAGGCGCCCTGCCTGTCCCGGCCGCCGCCGGGATGCCCCGCTGGCCCCGCGGGGAGCGGAAAACCCGCGGTACCGGGGGCCGGGGCGCGGAGCGGGGCAGGGGAGCGGAGTTGGGGGCGAAGTTAGGGGCGAGCGGCCCGCGGCGGTCGCGCCGGCCCGGCCCGGCCCCGCTCCGCGCCCCTTCCCGCACCCGCGCCCCCCCAAGGTCACGGCGGCGGCCGCGCTCCGCGGCGCGGGGCGCGGGCACCTGCGGCGGGGCCGGGGCCGGCGGGGGCAAGCGGCGGCTCCGCCAGACGCCAATAATTCATCTTCCATTTTGTGAAACGCCTCCTGATGAAAGAAAGTGCCCCTGAAATGCGGCGGGGCGGCGGGCGGGGGGCGCCGGGGGGCCGGGCGGCGGCCGGGGGCGCGGGGCGCCGGGCCGGCCCCGGGCGGCCGGGGCGAGCGGCAGCGGGAGCAGCGGCGGCGGCCGCGCTCCGCGCCCAGGGCCGGCCCCGCTCGCTAAGATGGCTTCTCCCGGCGCCGCCGCCGCCGCGCCGCCGAACAAAGCCGCGCTCCCCCTCCGCCGCGCTCGGCCCCCCGCGCCCGCCGCCCCCGGCCGCCGGCCCCGCCAAAACGCCGCCCCCGCCGCGAAGGGGCTCCCCGCTGGCCCCCCGGCGGGCGACGGGGGCGGCGGGGCCGGGGCGCGGGCGGGGGCCCCCCCCCCCCCGGCCCCTGCCTAGCGCAGCGCTCTCTAACAAAGGCTCCCGTGCAGCCATTACCGCCGCCGCTACGCTCCTCCGCGCCGCCAGAAAAAGAGTGCGGGGAGCCCCGGGGCGGCCCCCGGGCGCCCGTCCGAGGGCACGAGGAGGTGGGGGGAGAGGAGCCGGGGCGAAAGCGAAAGGTTTGAGCCCCCGGCGGGGCGCCGGGAAGGAGATTTTCCCCGCCGCGACCCCCCTCCCCATCGCCGTGCCGCTCACACGTCTTTCTTCCCTTCGCCGGGGCTCTCCAGCGCCAGCCATATTAATGCCCACAGCACGGGCGGCGCGGCGCGGGGAGAAGGCGATGCGGGGCCCCGCCGCGGGCGCAGCCCCACCAAAGACACCTTCCAGGGTGGGGGAAGAGAAGTGGAGGCAGAAGCGAAGGGATCGGGGGAGTTTGGAGGCGTCGGCGGCGAGAAAAAAACTGCCTGGCCGGGACCGCCGGGCGCAGCGCGCAGGGTTTATCCCTGTCAGATGCTAAAGCGACAGCCATATTAATGCAGAATAAACAGCGGGCACGGCACTGCGCACGGCCGACAACTTTCCCACCGCCACCAGCCCCACCGAGCCCACCCGGGGAAGGGGGCACATAAAAGCCGAGGGCGCCGCGCGTTTTGCCGTGCGACATTAGGAGGCGGCAGAGAAAAATCCCTGCCCATGCGGGGGAGAAGAGGAGTTAGTCCCGGTGTAGTTGCTGCACCAGCCATATTACTCTCGGCGGCACGGGAGCCCGGCGCGGAGCTACGGGGCTGCACCGGGGGGCAGGTGGCCCCTCCGCGGCGGGGGGAGCTCCCGGCGGGGCAGGGGAGGAGGACGGGGGGCAAAGGCTGCGCCTCGCCCGCTGCCCACCGCCCCGCCAGCTGCGCGCAGCATCTGCCCCGGCACCGCCGATCCCCGCGTGAGAGAGGCAGCGGGGAGTGGGGGGGGAAACAAAGTTTTGGGTGATTTTCCCCGATTTTTTTTTTTCGATTAAAAAAAAAAAAAACCACCAAAACTCAAGAGGACGGAAGAAACGGGAAACACGATTAAAAAAAAAAAAAAGGGGGGGCAAAAAAGCGGAAAAAAAAAAAAAAGCAGGCTGGGGCCAAGGCAGGGCAGAGGGGGCGAAGGCGCGGGGGCAGGGCGGGGGCGGGCAGGGGGCAGCCGCCCCCCGAAAAGTTGCGGCGGGGCTGCACGTACCTGTATTGTTCGCGGTAGTGTGGACAGGAGCGGAGCGCAGGGCACGACGCGGGGCTCGGCGCGGCTCAGCCTCGCGTTGGCTGCCTACGAGAGCGGCCTGATTGGCTGCGGGGCTCTGCCGTTTAAAACAACCTCCTCGCCCGCTCATTGGCGCGGCGCCTCATGAATATTAAGCGCGGCCGCGCGGCGGTTGGCGGGCGAGGTCATTCATTCAAAACGAAGCGCCCGCCGGGGGGAAGGAAAAAAAAGGGGAGCGCGGCGGGCGCGGAGAGTTCGGCGCGGGGATCCCGCCTCCCTTCCCCCCCGCGGGACCCCCGGACCGGAGCGGGACCCCCGGGGGGCTTCACCCGCCGCGCACGCCGCTGCCCCGCCGGAGAGTCAGCCCCGCAGCCAGTCCAGCGGAGCCACAGGGATTTGGGGCAGCACCCCGTGCGACAGTAGCACTGACCCTTTATTGCTGATTTCTGTCCTAAAGCCGTGTAAGGGGCGGTTCCAGTCGCAGCGCGCTGTTTGTAGAGCCGGCTGGTACTCTGCGCGTAGCAGGGAGGGAACCGAGCCCAAAGTAAACTCTGCTGACAGTCCCAACACGCGATGGATGGAAAAGGAACTACAGAGCGAGAAACTGCACGTTGGTGGGGAGGAACGGAGCTTTGCCCGCTCGTTCAGGAAATAAAACGCCGAAAGGATCAACTTGAGTTACTCTTTCTAACATACTTCCACAATTTGTTTGGTATTAACTTTCTAAGATTTGGTTGTTATTAAAGAGGCTGGTTGCACACAAGGAAATCCGTAAACATGCTCTGCTGACTGAAACCAGCCCAGCGCGGCTTTGGGGCCATAGGCTCCTTTGGCTCTCTTGAAAGAGCTATTTCCTATAGGGCAGCTGCCAAATGGTTAAACTGGTATTAGTGGCTGACCACAACTGTTGGTTGGCTCGGAAAAAAGAGCTGTTATTTTTAAGGATGGAGTGGTAAAACTCAGAAACCACCCCTTATGTTATGGGCTGGGCGTAACTGCCACACTATTATGATAGCCAGAAGAAACAGTTGCCCTCTTTAAAGAACAGATAGCGAAAAGAAGCCTCCACCCTGGGCCTGGGCTGAGACGCTGTCAGGCAGCAGGGTTTACCAGATACTGCCCTGTGGAAGTGCTTATGGCTATAACAACATATGGTCACAGGTTGCCTTTGCCGGAAGAGATCAAAACAAAACGACTGATGAAACACAGAGTGCCAACCTCCTGCTGACAGATCCACTGGGAAGTGTGCAGAATTTCACCCAGGATTTTAGCCAAAGTCCTGGCTGGATTTCTCCCTTAGGGTACATCTCAGCCAGTCTAACAAGCGCCAAAAATCCAATTGTTATCCATATGCTTATGGAGACCTTACACCCGTGTCCTTGGGCTTTCCAAAGCATATATGGTAAAACCAGTCTTATTAGCCTCTTGCCCTATTTCTGCTTTCTAAAACCAAAAACATAAAACAAGGGGTTCATTCATAAACATTAATGATGCTACCTGAGGGACTGTATTCTGTAGCATCATCATAAAATAAGACAAGCAATACTACTGCAGGATAATCTCTTTGTAGCTGACAAACCTCCCTCTCACCTATTTTTAGGGATACTTTCAAGTGTTCTAAACTAGTTGAATAATTAAGGCTTTTTTTTTCTTGGCTCCTGAGTTGCACAATTTTTTTATTCTGAAATACTTTCTTCCTTGAACCACAATTTCATCCTACAGAGAACATCAAGCAGGGAGCATTACCAAGGTGATGGATAGGCTGTTTAGGAGCTGGCTTAGGACAGGCACTGGACATCGAATATGCAGTCCTGCTAGTCATCTCCAGAGCATCCCTCCAATTTCTCACTGGCCAAGAGAAACATTCCCCAAGACGCTTGTTCTAGGAAGGCCAGGAAAGTTTTGACAGCTGGTCAAGGGGCAAAGGAGATATTTTGGTAGCTGAGAGACAGCTGGGTTGAAGGTTTTATCCTAGCACTCGCAGCATGCTTTTGAAAGCAGAGGAGGGCTGAGTAGCAAATGGGTGAACATAACCCCCATAGGGAAAGTTTCGACTCGCCCCCAGAACTGCCACTGCCGAAATTCTCCTGCAGTGGCCTCTGCCCCACACACTGCACCTGGCCCCTGCGTTGGGTGCCTTCCTGCCGTGCACCAAGAAAACAGCCTAGAAAGTTGGCTGAGCAAATACAACCCTTTGCTGTAACATCTTCCAGGTCACGCAGTCCCTCTGCCTCTCACAGCTCAGCTCTGGGTCCTCACCTGGCCCCTCTGGGAGACAAGGCAGCTCACCAACCCGACAAAAAGTAAACAAAGCCCAAAATTCTACCTGTTTTTTTGCTAGGTTAGTTTTCTGCTGGATTAGTGGCCTGAACCAGTGCACCAAGGACTCAGATGAGTACCAGAGCTAAGGCAAAGGAGTGTGCAGAAGGATAGAGCCAGGAGCAGGGACACACTCCCAAGTGTAGGTTTGGCAACTTTTAGTGGGGTTGTTTGGTTTTTTTTGTTTTAATATTATAGGTTACTGCATATTTAGCTATAGGAAGCATGAAAAAAAAACCAAAACCAAAAGAAATTTTAAGAGGCCTGGCTTTTGGCACAGCAGGCAGCAAGGTTTTCAGTGATGCTAGGAGAGCTCAATGAAGAGTTCTGGACCTTCCCTTCAGAAAGTTCTGACCTGATTCCCACCAGGCAGGATTTATTTTGCAAACACACGCTATGTTTTTAAGCAACTGTCAGCCATACCCTGCCTCCCACAGCAGGGACCCAGGCCAGGCAATATCTTGAATAAAAGAACTGAGGCATAAAATGTGGTTCAAGGTCCCATAGCAAAGAGACATCTCCCAATACTTGCAGTAGCTTGCTGCTGAGAAGATTGATTGCAAAGACCAGTCCCAGCTAGAGCTGCCAAACACGGAAGGCTTCTGGGCCACGTACATCTAGTTGGTGCTGTCTGGGAAATGGCAGAGCTGCAAACACCTGAGACCACACCATTACCTGCCTAGGTGGAACAATATCTTCTCTTTTGCTGGAGATGATGGAACAGGGAGGCTGCTGTGAAAAACTCTGGAGTTGCTGAGGAGTTCTCTAACAAGTCAACAGACTACATAAATATACTTTAAATTCAGGAAAGTCATCTGCAATGAAACGCTGCCTTCTGCTCCCTGTAATTGCCCGAGGTCTAGAGTAAGTTCACCTATCCTTCAGCCAACAGCCAGATCTCACCTGAACACTAGTGACAGCTTGGTGGGATTGGCCTTCTCACAGCTGTGTCCAGCTCCTGTTGTGCCAGAGGGCCAGCAAATTAAGGCCCACCATGTACTTAAGCTGTTCAGAAACGAAAGTGCTGAAAAGGACCAGAGCCATAACTGATTTTTGTGGAACACTGTTCTATGGGTGTAGGAGGGAAACTACATCCTTCCCACCACTGAT